TGTGACTATCATTAAAAATCATTTAGTCTATATCTGAGGGGATCGCTTTTATTGTCAGGCCCACGTGTCGCCTGCCTTAGTATGAATAACTTGGGCATAAACCAGCCGTGTCAGTAAAGTACAGTGACCTCTTTGGATGAAAGTAACAAGTTTGCACTCTTAAATGTTTGCTGACAGTCCTGCAAACCTGTGCTTGTTCAAAGAAAAGGATGAATTAAAATGGCTCTTGCAAATTAGTCTGAGCAAAGTTTGGTACTGGCATGTGGGCACCTTAATTATGCATCTGTGCTTGGGTATGACTCAGTTAATTAACTAATTATCCTGTGCAGTTTGATTCACTTTTAATACAGTAAAAGAACATTGCTATGTTGTCCTTTTGCTCCTTGAGGAAGAGATGTAATTCAAATGCTCAGATTTCCCCTTTATCTTGGAATATATGCAGGTACCTAACTTCAGTGACAGGTTGATACAGTAATCCACTGGGTTTCTTGTAGTGCTGGGACCTGGTATATGCAGGAATAATGCTTGTTTTCTTTACTTTTTCTTCTCTGTTGGTTCTAGAGGCTGGAGAGGACACTGAGTGTGTTCAACAAAACCCATGAGTCCGGTTTGCTGCCAGAAGCTCTCTATAAGCAGTGGGTAAGAGTTGACACAGAAAAATAGATTGTGAGACTGTCCTGCATTGCTTGCATGCCTATCTTTGCTGTTTTGAGTAGATAGAAAGGTGGGCAATATTGTGTTCAAGGCCTTGCTTTTTAAGAATTTACTACAAATCTTTTGTGGTGATTAGTTATATCTGCTGGATTTTAGCTTCAACTATTACTGGAGTCCAACCTCTTTGAGAAGGCTACGGAGGTGGCAGAAGCTGCAACTAAGCGCTTCAGCCTGTCAGTGGAAACATGGCAGATGAGACTGCAGGTGCTGATCCAACTGAAGAGTGACGATGTGACCCAGTGTTTTGAAGAAGCTGTTAAGCATGTGAAATCTAAGGTCTGTGCTGGTTTTATGTACTTGCCTGCATTAGTCTTGGACTGGAACCCTGTATTTATTTGAGTTTGGTTTTTTTCCCTTTACAAAGCATTCAAAGTCTCTAACCGTTTTTAAGGTAAAAAATAAGAACTTGACATTTCACATGCACATTGCATTCAGGAGCATTATGGAATTGTAAATTCACTTCAAATTCACAGTTTTAAAGTCTGAACGCTCACAGGTGACATTTTGCATACCCTTCTAGCCGTCAGCTGGTATTCTTTGTGTCTTAATTGAAAAATGTGTTTCCTTGTCTTCGCTGTCCTGATAAATTGTTTGCGTGTGTGGTATTTCAAGCCTTGAATGAGCTATGTGCTCTCTTACTGTTTCATTTCAAATCCTGGGCACAAGGAGCAAGGAGAGGAAACAAGGAGGTGATTGTTTCTTTCCTCCTTGTTCTTGGAAGTTACCTTTGTGCTGCAATGTTTGGTGACGCAGAAGAACTTGTCTCATCCTTGGCAGCATGTCTTGCAGCTGTCCAGCTAAGTAGTATTTGTCCTGTAAGTGAGGAAGGAAACAAGAAGTGATTTCAGTGTGCAGTCCAAAGTTGTCTTTCTAAGAGCTGTGTCTCAAGGACACTTTTTTACGGCAGCTGTAATACAGAACCTGGTGGATATGTTGCTGTCTGTTTCTGTAAATCAGACACACTGTATTTCAGTTGTTTGATTTATCTGCGTACCTTGTAGGGTACTTTGCCATTATGGACCCTCTGGGTGGAATGGAGTGAACGCACAAACAGCAAGGAAGACACAGAAGCTCTCTACCAGGTACTTAGCTAATAGAAACCTACTTTTTATGACAGTGTGTAAATAAACGGGAACAGTGTGTGGATGGAATGTGTAACAAATGCTTTATAGTGCAGTTTGTTCACAGCTGTGCTGTTATCAAGGAATTTCAAGTTAAACTGTGTGTGCTACCAAAAATCAATTGAACATAGGCTCATAAGCACGAATGTCATCCCCATGCTTCTAAGACATCTAGATGTTTGTAAGCACAGCCAATGATGGACTCTTACGTCTCCTACTTTGTGGTCTTTGCTCTGTTTTCAGATATCTGTCTGAACATGGAAAAGATTCATTTTCCAATCTGTATGAAAACATCAACCTTATTACAGAAAAATCAAGAACAAAACTGGGACTTTAATCTCATTGTAAATTCCCTAAATAGCATAGGGCAAAACATTTCCTCCTTCCCTGGCGTATTGGGTTGTGGGGGGGTTTTTTTCCCCCCGATTTACAACATAAAACATGTATTTCAGGTGGAAGCTTGAATTCAGTTTTTTGTAGAGCATTGTGAAACCCTCTGCATGAAGGATATTAGGAAAGTGCCAGTTGCCAGCTGTATGGAATATTGGAGGAGACATGTATTGTGGGTTACAATTAATATTTTAATTTGAAAAATATTGGATATGTTACCTAATGCTGTCTTTCAGACATCATTTGGGATGCTTTTGTCCAGTGCTTTGTCTCACTTATGAGATCTGCTTTATGTCAGATGCCTAATTAGGCACAAGGTACTATTTGGTTTCTTCTCCCTTGTTGCCTTTAATTGTAGCTTATGTGGTTGGTTTGTTTTTTGGTTTTGTTTTTTTTTTCCTTTTAAACTTGCAGAGATCCTTACATGCCACTGCTGAATCTGTGACTATGAAAGAAATGTATCTTGACTGGACTTACAGAAATGGTGGTTATAAGAAAGTTAAAAGAGTCTTTACCAGGTGACAAATAAAACCTTCAAACCTGATGGTTCTAGGGTATATGTTAAAAGCCTTGAAGTCTAAAGTTACCTATATTTTTACTTCAGCCTGTGTGAAAATCGTCCATTTTCACTTGACTTCTTCAGGAAGATGATCCAAATAGAAAAGGAGCAAGTAAGTTGTTGAATATCCAATTAGTGCCTTGTATTTGTAAAATACACTTCTAACTTCGGATTTAAATAAGAAACAGAGGGCTTGTGAGTAGTGTCATTAGGTTGTGATCAGTTCATATTTGTCTTCTAAAGTTGATTCATAGCGTGTAATACAAAACCAAGTTCCATGGTAACTAATCTTTGGCAGTGTGCACGTGTAATTACCGTGACACTTTTTCTTTGTAAGAATCTAATCAAGCTGCAGATTCACTTTTGTATAAAATAAATGACCTTTTAATACCATCCTTTGTTAGGAATCCTGCAAAATGCTTCATCTGAGAGAATACTATGAACGAGCCTTGAGAGAGTTTGGTTCAACAGATTCTGGTAAGGGGATTTTATTTATGTATTTATTTATTCATTCAGTGCTGCCTCTTTTATTTCCATTCATTTCAAAAAGGTAGCTGTTTGTTCTGCCCTTGTGTAATTGCTGTCATGCAGAGTGGAGCTTATTTCTTCTGTGCCATTAAGTGCATGACACTCTGCAGCAACCCTTCACTTTCAGTCCAGGGTCGTTGTTCACAGTGGGATGGCTTCAGCAGAACTACCGGCAAGTAAGGTTTTGACACTGGCTGGCATAAGAGATGTGTATCACCTTTAATTTGATTTTGCAAACAGTACGGAGCTATGTTTTTATAATTAAGATTTCTGTAGTATTCCTTTTAAGAAAGTAAATAGCTCAATTATTGCTGCGTTATTTCTTCAGACATCACTGTTCCAGCTGGGAATAGAACCCAGGCTTTTGGTTTTCACAAGGGGCAGGGGGGCTGTAGTTTCACAAAGTAAACCTCATTGTGTTAACATCAAGGACACTTAGAAAAAGAGTTGTTTCTAGGTTAGGTTTGGTATATTTAAGTAATGTCCAATCAAAATTTAACCAGAACTTCTGTTTTTCTTTCGAAAGATCTCTGGCTGGATTATATCAAAGAGGAGCTAAGTCATCCCCAAGGCAAACCAGAAAACTGTGGTAGCATTCACTGGCGAGCTATGAAGATGTTGCAGGGAGACCTGGTGGAAGACTTTATTTCCAAATACACTTTATTGCAAACTGGACATTTATGAAAAATTATAAATAGTTACAACATGACAGTGTGCATTTTTTAAACTTCTTTGTACAAAGGTAAATATGTTCCTGGAATTTATTAAAGTGTACCTTTACATTCTTGCATCTGTGCGGGGAAAAAAAAAATCGTCTACCCCACTGCAGTTGTTTTTAGTGTTCGTTCTGCCAGTGGCAAGTTCAAGTGCACGGTTAGAGGGGAAAGCAAAGGCGTCTCTGAGGGTGTTCTTCATTGAGACTTCTGAGAGCAAACTCTTCCTCCTGCCTAAACGTTCAGATAGAATAGTCATAATGCATCAGCTTTTACACTCTGGAAAGCTGATATTACAGCAGATAAGTGCAAAAAAAACCGAACCACCCCAACTGTGGAAACTGCACATGTGGGAGATCTTTGTATCTTACCAAGTTAAATAATGAAAAGTGGAACACTGGAGAAACAGTCTGTAAAATTGTGGTATTTATTGTTTCCTAGCCTTGGAGTCATCTGTAATCCTCTTTACAAAACCAAAACCAAGCTCTACAACCACCTTGCATTGGTGTTTGCATCCTAAGCTGTAATTCTGAGAGTGACTATGAAATGTAGAGGGGAGCTGAGATGTTTAACAAACGTCCCTAATGTGACAGTAGAAAGTTCTGATCTACACTTCCAACTATCCACAAGGCCTGAAAAATGTGTAACAGTGTTTTGAGGTAGCGTTGTCCTTGGCTGTTGGCAGAGCCACATTTTCCCCTGTCAAGCTGTCGTCAGACCAGTAGAGGATACCTAGGGAAAGTATAGGAACATGCAGCAGTAGTTCCTTTATCCAATTTCTTAGTGACTGAGTGGTGACATAATGACAATACAGAGAAATATTTCTTTAAGATTTTTCACACAAGTAGAAACGGCAGCTCCTCTCAAGCATCAAATTCCAGTAACTTTTGACTAGCTGGAAGCGAGGTTTGGAGCAACAGCCTGTTAAGATTGCTCCTTCTGTGACATTTGAAGGATGTCCAGCTTTGTCTTGTCCAAGCTTTTTGCCAGGCCATCTTCTGTCTCCCTACCAGTTCTCAGCTGTCTCATGGCTGGCATCCTGCTTTCCCCTGAGTAATCGCTCTTACGTGCTGTCTGCCCTTTATTATGTTAGTCCCTCCTCTGAATCACTTGTCTTGCTTCTTCAAGTGCTTCTTGCTCTGTCAGTTGCACGACAGAAAGCTTCTCAGTGCAAAGTTCTGGTTTGGGGGATTTTTTTGTTGTTTAGCTTTTTTTGTTTGAAGTCCAGCAAAGCTCCTAACTCCTCCATTTCTGAAAGTGGCCCTTTTTCTTTACCTGTTCTGGTTCCTTACAGAACTTTGCCACTCACTTCACCTTTGAGTGACATGCATTTCCTAAAAGCATATTTGACTGACACGTGTTTGGGGAGCACCTACCAGCTCTGTTCAGGAGATTGTTATCTTTTGGAAGGATTAAAAAGCCACAGAGCCTGGAGAGGCACTGGTATTTTATTCACAACTTCATGAGTGTAAAGGTGTTTTCTTACAGCTCTTAGGTTTGTATTTCTCTGCCATCTTTCTCCACCTGTTTTAATTGTGTGTTTCTGCCCTCAAGTTACACTGTTTTCCTGTCTCGCTGGACACAACTTCCAGTAGCAGTGAGAGAAGTTACACATCATGCGTTCAGAAAGCACAGCCAGCGGTGGTCTCCGCAGGCCGAGAGGGCCGTGGGAGGTGGCCGCGTTGCAGGCGCCGAGG